ATTCATTGTGAATAAAATGGGTGGTGCACGATTCACAGTAATGCAGCACTGAACCGCACAGTGAATACAGTGGTGGGTGTAAACTCCAGTCTCTCTAACCCACCGCACAGTAATTCACTATAATGTTGCAGGGCAATATACAGTACTGTAGGTAGCACTGTACAGAAGTCACTATGTCTCCCTGAAATTGCTCTTAATAAAAGCTGTCCATATCAAATTTCAACACACACTGACAAAAGGCTAAAGTGAAAGCTGACTTTAAATGGGAGGGGCCTGGCACAATTTGCACACCGCTATTATTTGATTATACAATGCTACCACAGATCAGATGTCATGCAATGCATTATGGGGTTGCCTTGGGCGTACCATCTGCATTACTGCAAACTTGAACCTGATCCCTACTGACCACTAACAGGGAACCCCCATGGTGCTCAAAATTACCGTAACTACACCACTGATAGACTATACTACAAATACTACACAAACAAATGTAACATCAGAAGTGGAAAATTTTGCAAACTGGGAAAAAATAGAATAAGCATTTGGCTCAAACAAGTCACAGATGCTCTAGAAAAGAACATCTGGAGAAACACTTCAACCCATATTTCAGATATATTTCTAAGTAAAGCAATTACTCTGCATAGTATTATAGCTAAATGCAGCCTGCCCAAAACAACATATTTTATAAGTGTTTTTACAATAAGAAATGTTACAGTATGAACATATCATGCACACTGGGGAAGTGTTAAAGAGACAACTGCCTGATAGTCTATGCTTCAGCCAATTCAAATTACACTATCACTGTTATAAAGCAGTGCCGACTCTCACTGACAGTTCTGAATCACTGGGATAAATAGGACAAATTGTGATTCAGATATAACCCTGTATACAAACCAAGCTGTATTACATGAAAGCATAATTATTTAGATTTCTGTATTATGATAAATATTTACAGAAAGGATAAGATTTTCTTTATTTCTTTATTTTTATTTTACAGGGCGTATCATTTTGAATTTTGATTTAAGTGTTTAAGACAGGTTGATAGCTTTCACTTGCAAATGCCAGATTGAATTTATAACAAACTCATGAGTCAGGTACTCATTTTCATATTGAATGAAGCAATGGACCTGTTGGCAGAAACAAGTAATGAGTGTTGCTAGACATTTAAATTGCATTCCAGCTGATTTATTACAGGCAATTTTATATATGGGTAGTACATATGGGTAATTTTTAGGACATGTGACAAAAGGAAGATTACATCATATTGATTAGCTGAAACGTATGCATATAAAAATATTTTTAGCTTATACCATTTATTAAGTAAAACTGCATATTTGGCAATTATAGTGCAGCCATAATAAATTATGGGCCCTGATTCTTAAAGGAGAACTATGGGGTCAGTCTTTTCCCCATAGTTCTCCTTAGGGTAACGGGAGGACACAAACTAGCGTCCTCCCATTACCCTAAGCTCAGTATACCCTGAGCTACAGCTCGCGGTATACTGAGACGCCGCAGCCGGAGCGGATCCCGACGTAGATGGCGGGATCCGCCCAGCTGCGTGAGTGACAGCTGGCTCTGCCTATCTAGAGGCAGAGCCAGCTGTACCCGCCCCCTCCTCCGTCCGTTCCGCCAGTCAGCGCTGGCAGATCGGAGCGGGGAGAGGGGAATCCAGCACCTCCCCCTGTCACGGCAGAGAGCCGTGACAGGATCGAGAGGCGAGCGAACCCGGTATGTGTTTGCTCACCTCCCGATCTACTGAGACCGACCTGTGACAGTCTCATTGTCACAGGTCGGCTAGAACTATGAGGTGAGTGAAAAGCACTCACCTCATAGTTCTCCTTTAACCCTCTGAAAATTTACTATGTATAGACAATAAAAAAAACTTTCTGTTAGTGTAAAGTAAATTTTTTAATGGCAACCATTCACCCTCAAACATGTTCAAGCATCCAATCTCCAAACATAATTGCTATGATAGTCCAGCTTTTCAGGAATCACTTTTTTATTCTATACTTACATTCTTTCTTTGTCAGAACAGAACTGTCAGAAGTGCCAGCTAGTGAAGACATCGCATCTTACTGTATATAGACTATTTGAAAACTCTACTAGTGTAACTTGACGCTTTTAAAGAAAATAAATCTGCAATAGGTATTTGTAATCATCTAAATTTCTTTTTTTTTTAAAGGCTATTATACTGTACCTTTCAGAAATGATTAGATTTCTTATTTTTTACTTTTATTCTCTCCCTGGCACAGCAGAAGTATCATGCTATAAGGCTGTCATACCTTCTGCTTGAACTGATAACAAAGTTTCAAAAAACAGTAAAATAGCAAATGTTCGGTAAGGCCCACATAACGGGGCGTCTGGGGACCATATAAGCTAACACTGAGCTGACATTTCTGCCTTGACAGAAAGAGAATACAGATGAATAACAGCACATACACCTATGTCTGAAAGGCTGCACTGTTATAGCAACATGAAATTGTAGCTTTATCAAACAAATACCTATACTGGACTGGTTTATAGAGGTGAAAAGCATGACTGTATTTGTCATATAAGCACTTGAAAAAGGGCCCCCCAATACCATCAGAAATACTCTATACATTAACAAGACCTCAGTTTAAATGCATCTTCTCCTCTGTCTCTCAACCTCTCTCTCTGTCTCTCAACCTCTCTCTCTGTCTCTCAACCTCTCATCTGATTTGGGGCTTTCTGGTAAGAATGCGACAAGGCAACTCTACGTTTGTTCCAATGTAAATTACAGTCACATGCCTAAAATAAAAATGAATAACAGTTGAAGGTTTATGAACTGAGGCTATAAAACTGTCTATAAAAAAGCAAAACCAAAAAGTTAATACGAGTCACCTATTATCATAAAACTGTAGCGCCATATAAATTTGTTACAATATGTCACATTTGCTCAAAGCCATTCATTTGTACTTATCAAATCCTTACCTTGACAGAAAGAGAATACAGATGAATAACAGCACATACACCTATGTCTGAAAGGCTGCACTGTTATAGCAACATGAAATTGTAGCTTTATCAAACAAATACCTATACTGGACTGGTTTATAGAGGTGAAAAGCATGACTGTATTTGTCATATAAGCACTTGAAAAAGGGCCCCCCAATACCATCAGAAATACTCTATACATTAACAAGACCTCAGTTTAAATGCATCTTCTCCTCTGTCTCTCTCCCTCTCTCTGTCTCTCAACCTCTCTCTCTGTCTCTCAACCTCTCTCTCTCTCTCCCCCCCCCTATATATATTGCATGCCTGGATTCTTTTATACAGAAAGATCCAACTTGTATAGTAAAGGTTGAACTGTTAGATAGTGTGTTTTGGATCGTACATTCCGGAGGAGGAGGCAGAGATTAGCTGCCACTGTCTCTGGCAAAATGAGAGACCCTCTACATAGCATTCATCCAAGATCTAGTGACGTATTGGACATACAGAAATCAATTAAAGGATTATTTACAGTGGCATATCAAAGGTACTTGCAGGCACCATTATATGGCTGCATATTAGTAGTACTGTTTGAACACATTGATAAACTTTACATTTTTTCTTTACAATGTGCTGTTTGGCAAACTATTACTTAGTTTAACAGTTAAATTAACAGCTTTGAAATAAAAGAATGAGTTTTGGAAATTCAAAACATAAGCGGTTTTCCACATAATAAAGCTTTGCATAACAAAATATGAAAAAAACTAAAACATTTAAGGCGGAATCCAGTAAGACAGATATTACTACACCAGTAATGCTACATAATATCAGGTTAAAGATGTGAGCAATCTTTTTTTTTAAGGTCTTATCATAGACAGGTGTCATTTCATGTTGACAGCCCAACATTTTGTGGAACAGATTTTGTCTGTTCAGTGCATCCATGAACAAAATATAATGTACATGCTTAGCATCAGTTTACTGCAGTGATGTATGGCTATAATTTAAGAGATGAAAATACATGTGCACAATAGGCAAGATATACTAAATTATATATACGTTTGGCATTGGTGGTCAAGCAAACCAGCCCCTACAAGTGTACATATGACTAATTGCAGTACATGTTTCAAACATATATCAGCTAAATGCTTGTTTTCCTCTCCTGTCTATGGGGCTATATATCTCTTAGTTATCTTGCATGTGTTTTTTACGTAGGAACAATACAACAATAAATGCAAATTTATATCACTCAGGGCGACAGCAAAACACATGGAAAGTCAAAATAGCAAAGTGTATGCTTCAGGGGGGGGGGGGGGGGG